TGTTATCTCGTTTACAGACTATAGATGCACTTGCTTTCATCAGCAACCCAGATTCCTATGTATGAGCAACCTAGAAAGCAGTTCTAGGGTGAGGCTGAGAGTAGGTGTGTCTGTTTAAGGAAGCTTGATATAGGAAGAAACAAATTTGTAAAGTCTTGTACATTTGGGAATAAGAATGCTTATTACAGAAGGAGATTCTGTTTGCAGAAAGCTTCACCCTTGGGTTCCTTTAAATAACAAACTCCTCTGATGCATTAAATATAGAGTTCAATTTGTTAAATCTGGTGAATGAATAACAATTTCAGGAGGTCATCTGTTATGTTCAAGAGGCACACCTAACCACTTATTTGCTCATTAGGCCTTCCTCCCAAGTCCTATCTGGTATAAACAAATGAGAGTGTGCTGTAGAGGACTCACATGAGATAAGAACAGAAAAATATTTGGTAATTAGGAATTCATTGGTGATCGTCTTAACTAGAGCAATTTCTGCAGCAGGTGGGGATTTGGCAGAGAAATGCAGCATTGAGGGCAGTACTAAAACCAGTTTGTTTTTTCTTTTTTTGGGGTGTGTTTGTGGGAGAGGGGTTATGAGATCAATGGAAGGGGAGAAGTAAGGATAAATGACTCTTTAGAAAGGTTGGGAGAGAGGAAGGAAAGTGGAGAAGAAGGAGATGTAAGGTCAAGAGATAGTTGGATTCTTTTTTTTTTTCCAGGTAGAAAGAGGCCCATCCATATTTGTAGACTTGGGGAAAAGAGCTGAATAAGCAGATGTTGAAGATACAGGGAAGAAAAGGTGTAATTAATTAATGATGACAGGTACATGATAATGAGCTAATGGTATCAAGAACACAGATGGAATAATTAACTTTGGGGAGACCTGAGGAATCGAGGTGAGGATGATACTGAGTAGATGGGTTTCTGTGGAGGAAGTAAAATGGTTAGAGAATTCCTATGTGATGCCCTTACACTTGGTTCCTACTTCAGAGAGGTGGTAATCTGCTTAGCATGAAGGACTGGAGATTGAGTATACGGTTTAAGGAGAATGACTTCCTAAGAGAGTAGGAAAGGAACTGACCAGAATAAAACAATAATTCTAAAGGATGGCTGCACCCTGTTAAGACAGCTTCTCTGGTGCTTTAGAGTGGTTCAGAACAATTGGGTTGGATGGCCTGTGCATCTGATCCAGTAGTGCATTTCTAATAATTTACTGAAAAACAAAAAAACAAAGTCCTCACAACTGGACCAGTAAGCAGCATCATGATAAATGGAGAAAAGATTGAAGTTGTCAAGGATTTCGTTTTTCTTGGATCTAGTCAACACCCATGGAAGCAACAGTCAAGAAATCAAACAACATATTGCATTGGGCAAATCTGCTACAAAAGACCTCTTTAAAGTGTTAAAAAGCAAAGATGTCACTTTGAGGACTAAGGTATGCCTGACCCAAGCCATGGTGTTTTCAATTGCCTCGTATGCATTCGAAAGCTGGACCATGAATAAGGAAGACCAAAGAAGAATTGACGCCTTTGGATTATGGAATATTGAATATACCATGAACTGCCAAAAGAACAAACAAATCTGTCTTGGAAGAAGTACAGCCAGAATGCTCCTTAGAAGCAAGAATGGCGAGACTTTGTCTCATGTACTTTGGACACGTTATTAGGAGGGACCAGTTCCTGGAGAAGGACATCATGATTGGTAAAGTAGAGGGTCAGCAAAAAAGAGGAAGACCTTCAATAAGATGGATTGACACAGTGGCTGCAACAGTGGGCTCAAGCATAACAACGATTGTGAG